TTTCTCCTCCTTCTTGGGCGCTACACGAGGAGGCGGCGGTCCTCCCATACCCGGACCAGGCGGGGGAGGAGGTCCTCCGATGGATGATGTAAACCCTCCTTGGCCAGGAGGCGGGGCATACGCGCCCGACTGAGGACCCATTCCCGGCCCCAATGGCGACGTGAAGCCGTCAGCCGCGGGCGGCGGGGCGTACGCATTACCTCCCTGTGGCTGGGGCGGCGGCGCATAACCACCTTGCTGTGGCGGTGGTGGTGCATACGGCGCGGAGCCTCCCATCGCTCCTGGTCCATCAATGAACTGTGGTCCGGCAGGCGGAGGAACGAATCCTCCCCTAGGAGGAGGAGGCGCAGAGAACCCGGCCTGCGGAGGAGAACTGTACTGCTGAGGCGGTGGAGGAGGGCCCGCAAACTGTCCTCCTGCTGAGAAGGCACCTTGTTGTGGAGGCGGAGGAGGACGGGCAAACGTGGAACCTGTCATTCATTAGTCTTAGTTACATCTTAACCATGCGATGCGTACCCGGCGGCGGTGCCATGGAAGAGGCTAAAATCGAAAACGTGAATAAAGCACAAACTGTTTTTCACCAAGTCATACCTGTTGGTGGCGGTCCGTACGGTCCAGGCTGCTGCTGCTGAGGAGTCATTCTTCCACCTGGTGGAGGTGCCGCAAACCCGCTCGTCGAACCTGGGCGAGGAGGTCCACCAGCACGAGGCGGTGGAGGGGGAGACACCATTCCCCTCGGCGGAGGCGGCGACGTCATTCCCCGACTGCCAGGCCTCACCATCTCGTATGGACTCGCAGAGTTTGGGAAAGGATTCGTAATGGGCTTGGGCGTAGACGATTTCGATTTGGGAGGAACATTCTTGGCAGGCGGTGCATCATTCCACCCCGTATTGTCCCTCTTGGGAGGCGGTGGAGGTACAGCTGCTTGAGGTGGCTGGGGTGCACGAGCAGCACCTGGATTCGCGTATGGACCTGGGGCGGCAGTATTGGTGAATTGATTGGGAGGTGGCGCGTAGCCTGTAGACGTTGATGCAGGGACTGCCGGATACGCCCGTCCATTCGCCCCACTGCTGAACTGTTGATAGCCAGCGGGTCCATACCCAGGTTGCGAGAACCCTCCCTGAGCAGGCGCAGGTGCAAACCCAGTCGTCGGTGCTGCGGGAGTAAAAGTCGAAATGGGTGCAGCATACGCCGGTTTGATAGTCGTTTTGGTCGTTGCAACGGCGGCAGCAACGTTCGCAGGTTTGGCATTGACGCCCAATCGCTCCCTGATACCCTGCGCACCCTCGTAACCAGCGGGAATGAACTCGAGGAAGACGCGCGCTTCTTCCGCCATACCTTGCCCGACAAGTATATCGACGTACTCCAGATATTTGTCGTACAATTTCGCCAATTTCCACTTGAGTGGTTTCGAATCTTCGCCGTCCTCCCTAGACTTTGGTGCGGGCCTTGCCAGATCGGGATCGACAAATCCAGTAGCACCTCTGAAGACAGCTACGCGCTCCATGAGACCCTCCAAGCCATCGTCTCCTGATCCCCAAACATCGACGAGCTTTTCAAGCCTTCCACCAAGAACCCATAACTCCTCTTCAGCCCAGCGTTCGCCCATCTGCTCGACCAACGCCGAGAACGTCTCTTCCTTAGGCTCGCTGACAGCAGCATAACGTGAAACAACGGAGAGAACATCGCGCCAGCCTTCTCCGCGTTTCACGACATCACTGATTTCTCCACGAACCACGGCCTTGACAAGGGATTCTGACGACGTTGAGGAAGCACTTTCTCGTCCAAAGTACTTCTTCTCAGTCTCATCCAAAAGATCGGCTGGACCTTTCATCGCTAGCAGTAACGCCTCTGCCCATCGCTCCTCCTTGATGCAAGCCTTGACCGCACGAGAGATGTCGCCCTTCACCAACGCACTCGTCACCGGGTCGGCTGTGTCAATGGTGTACGGATCCGAGTCAACGTGGGTTTGCGTGAAGAAGTCTTCGTCCTCTGCTTCATCCTGCTCCTTGGGTTCTTCGGATTCGGCCTCGTCTGTGCCGAGAAGCTTTGCAACGCGCGTCTTGACGTCGCCTTCGAACAACTCGCCAAGTACGCCTAAATCCTTTAAGCCACCCTCGTCCCCTCCTTTCTTGATAGCGCCAACAAGTCGTTTCGCCCGGTCGACCTTCTCAGTCTCCCAGACCACCCTGCGAACCTTGGCGATCCTTCCCTCCTGGCTCCATGTCACAACTCTTCCACCAAAGCCCCAGCTAACGCCCCCGTGACTCCCGAGCCATCGGCCAGCCTGGGTCAAACCCAGACCTTCACCTTCTTGTCTGGCTACGTCGAAAAAGTCCTCTCCACCGTCAACGTCGTCTTTTTCACGTTCCAAGTTTTGCGAAGGTAAGATCTTGACAGAGCTATCACCGCCGAATGCAGCGATACCAGGCTGGGAAGGCGACCATGATATACTGCCTTGACCGATGACCTCTCCAAGTATCTCGCCCGAGGACGACGAAAAGCAGACGGCGCGGCCATCCTTGCCAGAAGAGAGCATGAAGCTTGGATCATGTATATTCCATGATAACGAGCGAACGCCGAGGGTATGGTGGGTGTAGACCTGTATACAATTAAATACACGTCCGTAAGGACTATCAATATGACGAACCTTTTCAGCTGCACGCGCATGTCTGAGATCCCAGAGCTGTACGACAGGCGATCCGTCGTCTTCGCAGGCAGTAGCCAACTTGGTCGCCTAGATAAATGTGTCATGATATACGTTTATAAATGACGGTTGGGACTGACATTATCGGGACACCATTCAAGATCGCTCATCCGTCCACCTGGAAGACGTACAACCTCTCGTTTTCCCCTCAGATCCCACACAACCGCACCTAGAATCAAAGTTCAGTAATAAAATGTGAGCGTTTGTGGTGGAGACGTACCGCTGCCACCAACTCCACCCAGGACATGAGCAACGACGCGATTCCATTTGACAGCTTCAGCGTCAGCCTTACCGCTTGTAGGCGCGTAGGGTGCACCAGCCGGCGACGTCACGTCCCAAATGTATACCTACGGGACAGTCAGAAACGCCGTCGTGAAGTAAGCATGCGCGAACAAACCTCGCCAGCGCCACCTCCAGTAGCCAAGAGATGCTGTTGGATGGGCCCAAATTGAAGACCCCGCACCGGGCGCGTGTGCGTTGCTAGCAGAGCCGCCGTCCTACGGAAGGGGTACATATAAGCCCAAGACGAGGGAAACAAGGGAAAGCGCACCCCTCGCCAGCGAGAATTTTGTTGGCATCCCACATCTTCAGCTCGCCGCCTTCCAGCCCCGCAGCAATGACGCCCGCGGCACCCCATCCGACATTGATGAATCTACCCGCACTGCTCAGCAGCTAACAACGAGCGCGGAGGCCGACTGATACACACCTCGCCGATTCCTTGAGCGTTCCCCGCGGTTTTGGGCCATCCACCTGTTCGACGACCTCCTCCAACTCCTGCTCCTGCTCCTCCTCCTCCGCGTCAACGGGATTGTCGAAAAAGTCCTCTCCGTTGCCCGACTCCTGGACCTTGTGCTTCTTCACGGCGGCGGGCTGGCCAGCCGGCGCACTCTGCTCATAGTTGAGCAAATCCCACAGCTCCAGCCCGCTTTCGGAACCCGTCGCCAGCTGCGTGCCAGGGCCCCATGAAAACGCAGCGGTCCGCGGAATCGTCGTCAGCATCTCCCAGAGAAAACACAGAGTCCAAGGATCCTTCAATAAAGTTCTAAGTATCCAGCTTTAGCACGAGTGTTGTCGTAACATGCAAGGCATACATACCGCTGTAATTTATCTCGCCTTTGAAATCCGCCCCAAGTAATATCCAAAGCGGATTCGCAGCACACCGGAATAAAACGCGAGTCGAGGAGGGAGTTGCAAGACGGGACACGTCGTCCACGACTTGCCTCAACAAAATTTAAAGTCCGACTCCGGCGCTCACGTGGCAAGCGCGCTCCGACTACCGACGCGTACTTCAGTCTACGCGTCTAAAGAGGCGCGCAGCATAAGATCTTTACATTACCTGACAAATCTTGTCGAGTATTTTTCTGTCTACCACAATCCCCCATAGTAGGTCTTGAGTCTGGAGCCAACCTGAGCCAAGTCTCGAGCTGGCGGTCCACCCATAGGTTCAATTGAAGACTGACAGTAAGTGGTGACTTTGAGTGTCAAGTCAGGAGTCAAGACTAGGTTGCGCTGGATACCTCCAATATCGCGCTGTTCGATATTTAACTGCTTAATGACAGTTAATAACCGGGTTATTAACACCCCCGCCGAGAGGTACGTTTTGGGCGGTTATTAACCTATCACATGATGCAGTCATATGAGGAGGCGGGGCGCGTCGGGGCGGGATTGTGAGGAGGAGGATGGTTTGTAGTCAAGACTCAAGAGGGCCGGTAATGTGCTGCTGGACCACATATGTAGCTACATCAGAGGATCAGTAGACCTGTCACCTCAAATTGGACCATTTTGAGTTGTGAGTAGGGTAGTGGAAACAACCTAGGTTAGAGTACCAAGAGGTTGTTTCCCGGTAAATTACCGGTTATTTACCGGTTTGTAACCTAAAGCTGTTGGAGGTAGGTTATTTACCTGCACGTGACATATCCACGTGATGTGTCGCGCACGGAAAAAGGTAGTCCGCACTATATTCAGAGGCAAGAAAAATTACTATTCTTGCCTTTAAAATCTATCTGACTCTGATGGGTCCAAGGAAGTGGCATCCGGAGGGGAAAGACTGAAAACACTTGACGGCTGCTGCTGCCGCGGGGATGTCACGTGAAAATATCACGTGCAGGTAAATAACCATTTTTAACCGGTAAATAACCTGGACCTCTGGGAGGGTAGGTAAATAACGGTTATTTACCACCCCCCGAGGTTATTTCCACGACCCTAGTTGTGAGGGCCTGAAAAGAGAAGTTTGTCAGGTCACAAAAATACGCCACATTGCATAATGCAAAAAGTGATCCTAGAAACATAGATATGCCCTGTACCCGGATTGAACGAATGACCTTCGCATGTATCGCCGAACTAGAACGCATACAAGTGCGACGCGCTACCACTACGCCAACAGGGCTTCCTTTTCAGCCCCATTCTGCCTTGATTCGCGTCCCGCTTATGACTCAGCCTAAACGGATTAACAGCAGTTTCCTGCTGTATGCAACTTATACCCTTTCATGATTACTGTCAACTTCACTCAAGCAGAGGATGTGTCAATAAGCTGCAAGTAATATATGTATCGTACCAGATATGAGATAACGGCGTGCGGGTATGCAAGCAGGAGGGCAGAATGGGTAATTATGTACGGAGCAATGGGTGCAAAGGACAACAATGACGAGAGAGATGGGAATGATTATATGTAAGAATGGGATGGAGGCAGGCAGCAGGACAAGTGTACAGCTGATGGCAGAGAAAAGTTATAGGTTCTGTATCTGAACGATAAGAAACTGTTTCTCATCGCTAAATTGTTCGTCTATTTCACCGTCAGAATACGAACGAGCATGGCCAACAGTGATTACCACTTACCATCCTTATCGTTATGGAAGTTCTTGAGGAAAGAGAGCAACTTGTCTTTATTTCGCCTCAAAATGGTTTCGATCTGAGGGGGTTTCTTCGGGTTGGCCACGAACACCTAGAAGGGTCTATCAGACACGTTTGAAACGTTGATAGAAAGGACTGACCTTGAACACGTGGAACGCCTCGAACTGGATGTTTTTGCTCTTGTCCCGGAGTAGGTTCATCATCATTTTGAGGTTGGCCTCGTTGGCGATGTAACGAGTCATGACGTTGAAATTGGCTCTGTCTAGGAGGATCTCGCCCAATAACTTTAAGGATTGGCGCTTGGTGACGTAGTTGTTGGATAGGATGAGGGTGGTGAAGGAGGAGAAGAACCGGTCGTAATGGGTCTCTAGGTATGTCGCAACCATCGGTTTGTGGCGTGTGAGGGTTTCTTTGAGGTTGGAGAAAGCGTCACATGAGATACCAAAGGTCGTTGATTCGATGTAGTTTGGGAAGGTATAAAATCTGCACATGTGAGGTCAAGTGTTGGAGTAGAAGCAGTGGAGACACGCACTGATCACTGTTGAGCAGAATCTTTGCTAGGCTTTCATGCCTTAGCATCTCTTTGAGCACCATGCCCGTGTTGAGCGCTATCTCCTCATTTCCATAGCCCTCTAAAGCAGCGAAAAGAGCCTGCGGATTTTGCGTTAGATGCTCAACTGTTGGTAGTCGTTGCCCGATACTTCTTCTCAGAAGAGCTGTGTGAATTTGAACGGCGTCTTTGCGGGACTCGAAATCCAGGCGTGGGAGAGCGTTGATGAGAAGAAGAAGCAGAGATGACGAGTATGTTTCTTGTGCGAGCTGGGCGAGAGTGTCGGGGGTTTCTAAGACAGACAAAATGGTCAGAATGGTTCGATTGTAAGACAGAGAGGAGACACCAACCGTCGCCGTATAAGAGGGCCTTGATTTGCTGAAGAGACTTTGATATTTCCTCGCTGGCCTGCATAGAATAGAGAGTACATTCGTTAGCACGCGTTCAAGTAGAGCATGTCGTTCAACATGTTGACAATGCCAAACGAAGCGCACCTTCCGGCGGACATCACCACCTGGGGCGGCCGAGTCTAACTTTGGCAGGTTCTCGCGCAGAGAACGGACAAGGTCCGGCGGCGTGCGAGGCTTGGTCTTGAAAAAGTTCATGGCCGATTCGACTCGGTTGCTTGAGATCGAAGCAAAGGCTGGTTGATCTTTGGCCAGATCGGGTGTCTATCTGTGGAGCAATGAAGACGATAAGACGGCGATGAGATGGCAGTCGAGAACAGAGGGGAAGGAGAGGACGTCGTGTCCAAGGTGGTGGTACTAGTAGAGGAGAAGGTTACTGTTACGGATGGGCTGTGATGCCGGCGGCTTGACTGTCGATCGAAGGCTAAGCTCGGCGATGACGCCTTGTATTAAAATCTTTTGGAAATCTGGGAGCTGTTCAGTGTTTGAAGGAGAGGATAGGTACTGCGTGGAGGGTCCGCTGACAGTTCAGAGTTGTGCTGAGCAAATGACGCGTTCTTCAAGATACATACAAGACTCAGAGACGATGATCGTATGGACGCTTGTCCTTGTGTCCTCCCTCCATCACGTATAGCTCCGCATAATGGGTGAGCTTTTTTCTTTGTTATTTTGCAGTTTTAATGAATTCTATCAGATTACCAGGTACATAATTTCCATCTTTCCCAATCAACCAATTAATGCTAAAAACGACCTACATAGAATCGAGTCGGCTCCAAGTTTGGCGGTGGTGGTGTTGCTGGCGCGTCCGAGACCAACGTCGACCGACGTGAGCGTCTGCGGAAACTTGCTTTGGAGACGATAGATTTGGCCAAGGTGCGTGTCGTGTCTCCATATTGTGATTTCCTCACCGAGCCGCCAGGATCCTTACATCCTGCGCAACCATCTCGGCTCTCTCGAATGCCGACTCTGCTTGACGCTGCACACCAATGAAGGCTCCTACCTCGCCCACACCCAAGGCAAAAAGCACCAGACCAACCTGGCGCGGCGTGCGGCGCGCGATGCCAAAGACACGCAGCTGATGATTGCGCCGACGCAGAGCAGCATCCAGCGCAAAGTCTTTCTCAAGATTGGGCGGCCTGGGTACCGCGTCACGAAAGTGCGCGACTTGGATACGGGAAAAGAGGGCATGATGGTGCAGGTCCATCTCCCCCAGATCAAGCCTGGTGTCCTTCCTCGGAGGCGGTTTATGAGTGCTTGGGAGCAGAAAAGGGAGGCACCGAACAAGGCGTACCAGTATCTCATCGTGAGTATTTCTGTTGTGTTCGTTCTATGTGATTGACGGCTCTCTAGGTCGCTGCCGAGCCATACGAGACCATTGCGTTCCGCATCCCAGCTCGGGAAATCGAGGACGAGGCTGATGATGCTGGCTACTGGAACTGGTCGCACTGGGATTCTGACACCAAGCAGTACAGCTTCCAGTTCATGTTCCGTTTGGCGTACCAGTGAGAGAGATGGTATCTACCCGTTTTGTTGTACAACATCTATGCATCCTCCTGAGTACTTTCAAGGGTGCTTGTCAATCATAACTCTTTCATCTTCTACTGCCATGTCCACGTCTCGCACAAAGCATTCTACCATCTCGCCCACGTCCAAACTGCGCTCCAGATCTCTCGTTGAACACGCACAAAGTGTCCTTGCCCGCATCCTCAACGACCCAGACATCAACGAAAGACGTGTAAATCGCACGCTCACTCCCATCTACATATTCGCGTCCTTACTCCTCGCGTCTGTCATTCTACCTCGCCTTTCGTGCATGCGCACTTGGCTCAGTGATATTCCTCACTTTAAACTCGAACTCGCCTTTGTCGTTTTGGCGTTATCCTTCGGGATTTGGCTCGGACTCGTACTACTTCATTGGACCGTTGACAAAGTGGCGATTGGGTTGCGAGCGTTCACAGAATATGATCTTCGCGGACTGAATAGAGAAGCGGGGGTTCCTCAGACATATGAACTCGTCTTTGGCGGTATTCTTTGAGGATGTGGGAAGCGCCAGCCGAGAACCTTGCTTGTTTGTCATACTTTTCAAAATGAATACTATATAAATCACCCGGTGCAATGCATCACGGCCATTTCTTTCCTTCAACCCGTTCCTCGTTGCGCTTCCCGTGTACTTTATCCAGAACGTAAGATGCCTGCATACTCGGGTGTTAGAGAATATGTACCAGTCATTATTGTCTTCGTTTTCTGAGAAATGGCGAATTATCTGCAGAAAGGGAGGACACATCTTGACAGGGGGTGTTGAACGTTGAACACGTATCACATTTTGTGAGGTTAAATTCGCAGGAGCGCAAGCAAGGCGCAGGCTGCACGTGATCGTCCAAAGCCTGCCATCGACCATCATCGTCGTTCATGTCGACACCTCTAGCATTCGGTATTGGCGCCATCACCGTCGCCCTCGCTGGGCGGGCGATTCTCCGTCGTGCTGGGGCAGGGGCAGCCGAACAATGGGTCAAGGGCGGGTTCAAAGCCAAAATGGATCGAAAGGAAGCCATTGCGATCCTTGGCCTCAAGTACGTCCTTGTTCCTCCTTTGACATGCATTTGCCCATCTTTGACAGAGACGGCCCTTTGCTGCGCAACAAACTGAAAGATGCCCACCGCCATATCATGCTGGCCAACCACCCCGACAGAGGCGGCTCACCATATCTTGCGAGCAAAATCAACGAGGCAAAGGACCTGATCGAAAAGATGGACGGGCGACGGTAACACTATCTTATTTTTGCTATCGGTGCGTTTCACAGTCCTAATGAAACTTCGCTTGCTCATTACCTTGCAGTGTATTTGTGGGACATGTACTAATTGCTTCGCTACCATCACCTTATAATTGATTCGCACTCCTCACATTCACTCTTGCGTCAACTCACTCAGCGTCGTCGTCCGCAGACACTCCTCCTAGCGGAAGAACTACTTCCACTAATACAACCCCTCTACTGGAGGCCCAGGCCGCCAAAAGCACCCCCATCGCTAAGAAAGTTGCCGGTTATAACGTGTACGCCAGCGCTATTAAAGACAAAAGCATGTTCGACAAATATACAGAGCTTGTCAAGGAGACCCGTGGGCACTATATCGGTCCATGCCAGTCCAAACCTTCCTCGACAACTTTCTACCATGGAACCCAGAGACTCTCGAGGAATACAAGGCGGCGGAAATTCCCGCCTCGCGCATCAAGACGCTCAAGTCGATGGCAAAAGCGTCGGAGGCCAAGTCATACCAGAAATTTGTGTGTTCATTCGGTATAGCTGCCGTGGATTGTACCTAACAACTGAACATCGCGTAGGTCGACGCATTTTCTGAATGGCCCTCGGACGCGGCCGACAGCGCAGGGGTCGCCGACTCATACCTTAAATGCCCAATATCGTTCAACGACACGCATAGTAGACGCGATCCTTCCTGCGGTAAGATGGGCATGGACGTTACCGTCTACGACGAAAGGCGCGCCCAGCGGATTCCCACAGCCTCCGATTTCTTTAAATCAGAAGGCTTAGTTGAATTGAAACCAAAAGAAAACTATAATGCCTTC